TACTTATTTTCCACCATAATTTGCAAATAAATTCATAAAAAATCCTACAATGTGATTTTCTGGATTTTTTTGTCTGTCATAGTTGACGTGTACCTATGATGAAAATTACAGGCCCCTCTCATCTTTTTAAGTGGGAGAACTTGCACAATTGGTGGCTGACTAAATACTTTTTTCCCCCCACTGTATATGATGGGTTTTTTGTTAGTGTCTAGCAGAGAGTCAATCAGCTCTTTTAAAATCCAGTTTCAACTGTTCAGAGCTGCCCTTCATAATGTCATTAAAACCCACATGGACTACGATAGAATCGATTTCCATGTCCTGATGTAGTACATTCGGGAGCAGCTTAGTAATGTCATTTACTCAAGCTCCGGGATAGGACATTGTTTTTGCACCAGGAACGATCACATTTCTTACCATGGAGCTGCCCAAAATCACGGCTTGCGAGAAGGACGAGGAAATCCGCCCACTCCCACGCTTCACAGGATGCAGGCCTCCGACAGATGGAGAATCCCCGCTCGATCCAGAGCAGGGACGGAAGGTTGCCGACGTCGACTTCGAAATCGCAGTAGTAGGCACTGCGGCCAGAGACACAGGCACCCCCAGCGACGAAGGTGCTGGAAGATCAGGCTCCAGGACGGCGAAACTATTAGTTGTTTGTATCCGTTCCGGGCCTGTCGTTGGTAGTGTATACTGTTTTGCGGGAGGTTGCTGTCTTTGGCTTCCATGGCTCGTGACATGCGACCATCGTTGATTGCCTTTCTCATCATGCTGTGCTCCTTCAACGGCGCTATCAGATGGGGGAGCACCGGGCAACACCGGCCAGTCGGATAACGACAAACGAGAAGGCGGAGACGCATCCAACAAGCGCGAACGCCGTCCAGCCACCAGTGTAGAAAATGTGAACATTCCACTCTGCGTTTTCCCCAGTTTCTTACGTAGGCTGGCGACCTGCGTGATCAAGGAAGCCACCTCAAGCCTATAATCCTTGGCAAGTAAACAATTTGCTGCATTGGAACTCCGAGTGATCCGGTTTGTCCTGAAACAAAGCGTAATAGATACAGCTCCTACAGCGCTGGAACCGTTCATTTAGTTCTCCAGACAAAGAGGGCTCCATTGCAAAACTCATCTGGTACCAACTTCGTTAGCTTGATGGCTAGCAGCTTAGCCATCAGTGGCTTGGAGACACAATATGATTTGACTGCTCTTCTCTGTCTGTGTTCATCATTCCCCCCCCCCCCCCCCCCCCCCCCCCCCCCCCCTCCGTGTTGGAACATCTGACCTACTTTAAGAAAAGAGCCTAGAAACGTGTTGCCGTGCTCCAGGCTGCTGCAAGGCATTGTGGGATGGCATGGAAGTCGCAGGTGCACCTCAATAGGGAGACAGTCACTCACAGACGCGCACCAACTGCTTTCCTCTTCACACATTCTCCATTTTTACTCTCTAATGGGTATGACACACACAACAAAGCACTAATGGATGTCTAGATTGATTTTTATTGTGCCAGTCTCAACGTGTTGTATGGGAACTATTAGTGTCTCCTGCCCATATACAGGGTGTTGCTGTGAAGGCGAAGATGAGATATTTGGAGAGGGGGTGTAAAATAGTTTTAGAAAATCAATTGACCTGATTGGAACTTTGGAGAGATGCCTGGATCTCAAGATGAAGAGGACACTTAGATAGAGGGAAAGTGAGAAAATTTCAGCATCAAGTTAACTCAGCCACCCACATAAATAATGTCACACACACACACACACACACACACTAAAACTGCATATGTACCTCTTCAGCACTCATGAACACACCGTCAGCAGCATAAATCAGTGAGGGGTATGGAGGTCACACACACAAGGTCAGTGTCACGGTAGGAAGTACAGTTGAAGTCGGAAGTTTACATACACCTTAGCCAAATACATTTAAACTCAGTTTTTCACAATTCCTGATATTTAATCCTAGTAGAAATTCCCTGTCTTAGGTCAGTTAGGATCACCACTTTATTTTAAGAATGTGAAATATCAGAATAATAGTAGAGAATTATTTATTTCAGCTTTTAGTTCTTTCATCACATTCCCAGTGGGTCATAAGTTTACATACACTCAATTAGTATTTGGTAGCATTGCCTTTAAATTGTTTAACTTGGGTCAAACGTTTCGGGTAGCCTTCCACAAGCTTCCCACAATAAGTTGGGTGAATTTTGGCCCATTCCTCCAGACAGAGCTGGTGTAACTGAGTCAGGTTTGTAGGCCTCCTTGCTCGCACAGGCTTTTTCAGTTCTGCCCACACATTTTCTATAGTATTGAGGTCAGGGCTTTGTGATGGCCACTCCAATACCTTGACTTTGTTGTCCTTAAGCCATTTTGCCACAACTTTGGAAGTATGCTTGGGGTCATTGTCCATTTGGAAGACCCATTTGTGACTAAGCTTTAACTTCCTGACTGATGTCTTGATGTTACTTCAATGTATCCACATCATTTTCCTTCCTCATGATGCCATCTATTTTGTGAAGTGCACCAGGCCCTCCTGCAGCAAAGCACCCCCACAGCATGATGCTGCCACCCCCTTGCTTCACGGTTAGGATGGTGTTCTTCGGCTTGCAAGCCACTGCCTTTTTCCTCCAAACATAACGATGGTCATTATGGCCAAACAGTTCTATTTTTGTTTCATCAGACCAGAGGACATTTCTCCAAAAAGTATGATCTTTGTCCCCATGTGCAGTTGCAAACCGTAGTCTGGCTTTTTTTATGGCGGTTTTGGAGCAGTGGCTTCTTCCTTGCTGAGCGGCCTTTCAGGTTATGACGATATAGGACTCGTTTTACTGTGGATATAGATACATTTGTACCGGTTTCCTCCAGCATCTTCACAATGTCATTTGCTGCTGTTCTGGGATTGATTTGCACTTTTCGCACCAAAGTACGTTCATCTCTAGGAGACAGAACACGTCTCCTTCCTGAGCAGTATGACGCTGCGTGGTCCCATGGTGTTTATACTTGGGTACTATTGTTTGTACAGATGAACGTGGTGCCTTCAGGCGTTTGGAAATTGCTCCCAAGGATGAACCAGATTTGTGGAAATATATCCACAGGTACACCTCCAATTGACTCAAATGATGTCAATTAGCCTATCAGAAGCTTCTAAAGCATGACATTTTCTGGAATTTTCCAAGCTGTTTAAAGGCACAGTCAACTTAATGTATGTAGACTTCTGACCCACTGGAATTGTGATACAGTGAATTATAAGTGAAATAATCTGTCTGTAAACAATTGTTGGAAAAATTACGTGTCATGCACAAAGTAGATGTCCTTACCGACTTGCCAAAACTATAGTTTGTTAACAAGACATTTTGTGGAGTGGTTGAAAAACGAGTTTTAATGACTCCAACCTAAGTGCATGTAAACTTCCGACTTCAACTGTAGGTGTGCAAAGTCATTAACTGCATTTTGGAGTGTATGTTGCTAGTAGCCTATGTGTGGTAGTGATTTTGACTGCACATCATAAAGGCTGTGTGTGTTTTCACAACATGTGATATTAATTTTTTCTTTCACTGCCAACAAAGAGGTGTGGGTGTGTGTTATTGATCCTGTCAGAGAGTGAATAACTCAAGGAGACTTTCTGTTAGGGTGGTGTGTTCTCTCATTGTGTGCTGCGTCTCAGAACAGGCAGGTTCTTCAGCATTTCCTCTCTAGCAACACCACATACTGTTGATTCTGGGCGGCTCCCTGCACCTGCTTCCTCTCTATGGTTAGAGGGAAACAACCGTGCAGGCCAGGGAGGGGACACACACACACACACACACACACAGCAATGTCATGATTCTAGACTGAGTGTGTTGTAATTGTGTACCGTAAAACTTTCACTAATAGCCCAGCCGTTTATATGCTTCAATCACTGAACACAACCAGCGCTTATTAGAGACAGGCTTCTATTTGAGCCAAGCGTCTATTTCCTTAAGCACACAACTTTTGCTCAATCAAATGTTGAAAAGACTACCACACAGTTTGTGACCAGTATAAACATTATAACAAATCCATTGCAGATCAGACTTGCAAAGACTAGGCTGCCTATCATACACCGTCGATTTCGTGCTTCAGCACCATACTCTCTCATTGCGCCTCGTTGCGCCTTGCATCCCCCGTAGTTGCAGCGAGATCACAGCAGATAGACTTCAGTATTCAATGTTTGTCCTGGTCCCCAGTACATCGGGGGATGCCTTCAATACCGTCCACTAAGGGCAACATAACCACCTATTACTCTATGCTTATCGTCAGGTTTTTTTCTTCAGTTTTAACAACCTTAGGTAGAGGGGGATAAAGAGATGGAAAGATAGCTTGATAGATGGAGGGAGTACTAGGAAGAGTGAGTCTGAGGAAAGAAAAAAACGAGAACACACTTGCATATGCACAAAAATAACTACTGTACATTCTGAGACATTCATTCACATTTCCACATTGCTGTGTGTGGTCTAGCTTCTTGTATGAATTATATAAGAGCATTGTCTTAGTGGAGCTAATCCTCGCATGTTGACTTGGGCTTAGGAAGGTTGAGGTGCACACTTTCTCTCTTGCACGTATGCACACACACATACATATCAAAAAGGAGGAGACAAAGACACACACTGTATAACAGGCTGGTTTCTCAGTAAAACCCAGGCAGGAGCACTTACCCCTGTCCATCTCCTCCTTTCTGACCACAACCTCCCCTCAACCTTCTGATAACCTTCCTTCAACTCCCCAGTCCAGATAACAGTACCAGGAACAGGGTTTCTCATAACACTAAACCACCACCACATAATACTCAGTATTTTCAAGATATGACAACACTATCTACTACCACAGCACTAAAGGGGAAGTATACTGCCCCCACAGTTTGTAAAGGTTCTTACAACACTTAATAATCTATTTTGTATTAGAAGTTGTTACATAACTATTAGCCTACACTGGGACACAGTGAGAGTTAATGTTGGAATAAAGAGCAGGATAACTAATCCTTCCCCTCTCTCTGTCCCTATAGAGAAGTTGGTAGCGTACCAGAGGGAGTTCCATGCCCTGAAAGAGCGCCTCCGTGTGGCCGAGCACCGGACCCTGCAGCGCTCCTCAGAGCTCAACAACATCCTGGAGCAGTTCAGACGGGCCATCGCTGAGACTAACGGCAGTAAGGACGCTCTCGCCAACTTCTCAGGTACACACACCATATATTTTACTATCCTTGTGGGGATCTAAAATTGATTTCCATTACAACCCCCCCCCCCCCCCCCCCCAACTATTCTACCAGTTGTAATTTTATGATTCTCAACCATTCTACCAGTTGTAAGTATCATTCTCAACCATTCGACCAGTTGTAAATATCATTCTCAACCATTCTACCATCTCCGATTCCTTCCTGTATGATTATGGCAGATGAGACCCAGAAGCTGCTGAAGGAGCTAGCCAGTAGGAAGCCCCTTCAGGTGCCGAACATCTACCACCACATGCCTCACCTGCTCAACAATGAGGGCAGCCTGCAACCCGCTGTCCAGGTGGGCATGGGCCGCACCGGAGGTAAGAGAGACACACGCTCGCTCGCACACACATTCCTATTGTCAGCCCTGTCCTAGGCTAGTGTGTTACACGGCCTCCCATCAGGACCTTTTGAGGTCAGTGTGTGTTTGTGACTTCAGGCATAGTGGTGAGCGATTAGTCTTGCTATTGTAGCCCGGAGGCCAATCTAGGCCCCAGTCTCACTCAGACCCCTATTGTCCTACACAGCATGGTCACTATATCACATTCTCCTAAAGAGGTGTGTGTGTGTTAGACAGGGTTAGGAGGATGAGCAGGGTCAAGGGCCGGTAAGTAAGGTGAGGAGAGTGTTAACATGACTAATTGGACTTCCCAGTGACTAGACAGGCTTTAGGGAGGACATACATGTTCTAAAGGGTGGAGGACACTAGCTGGCAGTTTGGAACAAACACACAACACTGTGTCTCTTGTATCTCCTTTGTCTCATCAAAGCCCAGTGACATCAGTTTGATGTTTGCCCAGACGGACTCTGAGACAAAGAAAGAGGAAGACAACAGTTTTTTGGTGTTATGTGTGTAACATGTGTGTCATCTGTGGATGCAGACAGGTCTTTTGAAGCCTTTTGATAGCTCTTTGTCTGGTTTTTCTCTGAGGTAGAGGCTCTGATCCTCTCATAGGGTGTCTGTTGACATCCTACTCCACTGTGATGCCTGCTCCTTTGTTGCCGTTATTGGCTGATTAGTTTAGCCTGAGAGTTGTTTTTGTGTTCTGGTGTGGGGGGGGTCATACTGTATGGAAACATGTTGTGGTTGTTGTGCTGCTGCTCTCCTGACAAATCAAATTTTATTGGTCACATACACATATTTAGCAGATGTTGTTGCGGGTGTACTGTTGTGTTCCTAGCGCCGACAGTGCAGTAGTATCTAACAATTCAGTTAATATCTAACAAGTGATGGACAATAACTTGGTTTAGGGTCAAGAGCTCCCTACCGGCCCTCCCCTCTCAATCTCCCCCTCTCTCATCAAGTCTTTCACTCTCTATCCTCTCATCTCTCCCTCTCATTCTCTTTCCGTTCTCTCTTCCTCAATTTCTCTCTCTCTGTCTCTGTCTCTCTGTCTCTGTCTCTCTGTCTCTGTCTCTCTCTCTCTCTCTCTCTCTCTCTCTCTCTCTCTCTCTCTCTCTCTCTCTCTCTCTCCTCTCTCTCTCTCTCTCTCTCTGTCTCTCTCTCTGTCTCTCTCTGTCTCTCTCTGTCTCTCTCTGTCTCTCTCTCTCTCTCTGTCTCTCTCTCTCTCTCTGTCTCTCTCTCTCTCTCTCTCTCTCGCTCGCTGTCTCTCTCTCTCTGTGTGTGTGTGTGTGTGTGTGTGAGAGAGGGTGTTTGACATTAGGGTTATTTAAAGCAGTGCAAATTGGGACATCTGAATGCAGAGAGCGAGATGATGATGAGAGAATGGGAGTAGGAGGGACTTTCTCTCTCCAGCCTGTCTTTTAGGCATGACTCATAGGGAACATAAAGACTGTGTGTATTGTATCTATTCATATGTATTCTGGTTTTATTTTGGTACATTTGTCTATCGTTTTGTATGTTCTATTTTTATATAATTGTTTGGGAATGAGTGATTGACGATGATTGCCATGTAGCCTGATGTTTGAGTGTTATGTACTAGCCTAGCTAGCAGTTAGCAGGGGGAAGCTGATTGCCTTGAGGTCCATTAATCCCTACTGGTATTGGATCTGGTGTCTGAGGGGCTTAGGATCTAGGACGGGGTTCCCCAACTGGCTCTATTTGGCTCGTGGGTGGTTTTATTTTGTCCCCTAAGTTTTCTGAGCAACAAAATTACATGTTCCGGCCCCCTGACCATCCGCTCAATAAATAATTGGCCCGCGGCTGAATCTAGTTGATCCCTTGTCTAGGATCTAAACTCAAACACATCACCCCTCTATCTCTACTAGGCCTTACTATACACCCATGCACACACTGGACACACATACACCCCCCGCCCCATTCTGTTTGTACGCAGACGTCAGCTCACCAATCACCATTCCTCTGTCAGAGGAGCTGAGGCACAGATGGATGTGATGATTAGGGTTCTTTTCTGAGAGAGATGATGGGGGGAGAAAGGGGTTGAGTGATGGCATGAGAAGTAAACAAAACTGGAGGGAGGGATGGTTTTGGTGAGTGTTTGTTTCCCCCCTCCCTCATTGTGTCCCTTTAGCTTCCATTTGCACTTGTGTTCTCCCTCTCACCAGCTTCTCTCTTTCTTCCTCCCTATGTCGCTCTCTCTCGCTCTGCCTCACACTCTTTTCTTGGTCTCTTTTCCTCTCCCTAATCTCTCTCCTTTCATCCTCAACCTACTTTCCTGGTCCTGTGTGTCTCTGTGCTGTTCTGTGCTGTGTGAAGGGACACAAAGCAAAACAAGGACCGACTCTCCATGCTGCACAGATCACACTCCACCACTTTCATCTCTCTCTCAATTCAATTCAATTTAAGGGCTTAATTGGCATAGGAAACATATGTTAACATTGCCAAAGCAAGTGAAGTAGATAGTAAACAAAAGTGAAATAAACAGTAAACATTAACAGTAAACATTACACTCAGAAGTTCCACAAGAATAAAGACATTTCAAATGTCATATTATGTGTATATATATATATACAGTGTTGTAACAATGTGCAAATAGTTAAAGTACAAATGGGAAAATAAATAAACATAAATATGGGTTGTATTTACAATGGTGTTTGTTCTTCACTGGTTGCCCTTTTCTTGTGGCAACCGGTCACAAATCTTGCTAATCTTGCTGCTGTGATGGCACACTGTGGTTTTTCACCCAGTAGATAAGGCAGTTTATCAAAATTGGGTTTGTTTTGGAATTCTTTGTGGATCTCTGTAATCTGAGGGAAATATGTGTCTCTAATATGGTCATACATTTGGCAGGTTAGGAAGTGCAGCTCAGTTTCCACCTCATTTTGTGGGCAGTGTGCACATAGCCTGTCTTCTCTTGAGAGCCAGGTCTGCTTACGGCGGCCTTTCTCAATAGCAAGGCTATGCTCACTGAGTCTGTACATAGTCAAAGCTTTCCTTAATTTTGGGTCAGTCGCTGTGGTCAGGTATTCTGCCACTGTGTACTCTCTGTTTAGAGCCAAATAGCATTCTAGTTTGCTCAGTTTTTTTGTTAATTCTTTCCAATGTGCCAAGTAATTCTCTTTTTGTTTTCTCATGATTTGGTTGGGTCTAATTGGGTTGTTGTTGTCCTGGGGCTCTGTGGGGTCTGTTTGTGTTTGTGAACAGAGCCCCAGGACCAGCTTACTTAATAATAAATAAATAATATGCTATTTAGCAGACGCTTTTATCCAAAGCGACTTACAGTCATGTGTGCATACATTTTTACGTATGGGTGGTCCCGGGGTCGAACCCACTACCCTGGCGTTACAAGCGCCATGCTCTACCAATTGAGCTACAGAGGACCACACTTACTTACTTAGGGGACTCTTCTCCAAGTTCATCACTTTGTAGGTGATTGCTTTGTTATGGAAGGTTTGGGAATTGCTTCCTTTTCAGTGTAGTCCCCTGTAGCTCAGTTGGTAGAGCATGGCGCTTGCAACGCCAGGGTTGTGGGTTCGTTTTCCACGGGGGGCCAGTATGAAAATGTATGCACTCACTAACTGTAAGTCACTCTGGATAAGAGCGTCTGCTAAATGACTAAAATGTAAATATAAGTGGTTATAGAATTTAACGGCTCTTTTCTGGATTTTGATAATTAGTGGGTATCGGCCTAATTCTGCTCTGCATGCATTATTTGGTGTTTTTCGTTGTACACAGAGGATATTTTTGCAGAATTCTGCATGCAGAGTCTCAATTTGTTGTTGGTGAGTGGACCCCAGACCTCACAACCATAAAGGGCAATGGGTTCTATAACTGATTCAAGTATTTTTAGCCAGATCCTAATTGGTAGGTCAAATTTTGTTCCTTTTGATGGCATACAGGGCCCTTCTTGCCTTGTCTCTCAGATCTCGCACTCTCTCTCTCTCTCTCTCTCTCGCTCTCGCTCTCTCTGTCTTGCTCTCTCCTTCTCTCGCGCTCTCTCTCTCTCACTCACACACACACACACACACACACACTCATTCATTCACAGTCTTTCAGTCTGTGAATTGTCTTCCCTGACCGTTCCCCCTTATTTTCCAGTGTTTGCCCTAGAGCTACTCTCCATATTGGCACCATAATAGAGAATAAACACCCACACACTGTAGATGTGAAGTTCTGTACCATAGTGCTACAGTCACTGTTGTTCTCATTCTCACTCCTGGTGCAGAAGGATATTGTTTTGGGGAGAAAGAATACATGTGAATATTTTCCTTTTTCTGCCCCACAATTTGAATTTTGAAAGGCAAACATCCCACGCTCGCCAGTCTAAAATAAGAAAGAGAGGGTGGGAGCGAGGGAGTAAATAATGTGGTCCTCAGCGAGAATGAAGAGCAGAGTGCTATTGAGTAGTGCACACACGCAGCCCTGTTCCCCAGAGAAGGGATCCCTGGGCCTATTGTGTCTGTGTAGTACAAATGGAGTGATATGTCTGTAGTACAGTCTCTTCTATTCCAGTGTGGTGTGGTTTTCACTGAATCTCCCCATCTAAGGTACAGAACTGTCTCTCTTCCCCCTTCAGGACACATACGGTAGGACTGATAGCCAGGAGAATAACAGTAGCTGCTGTCTCACCCATCTCCCTTGCTCTCTCTGTCTGTCTCGTTCTCTCTCTCTCTCTCTCTCTCTCTCTCTCTCTCTCTTTCCTTAGTTGAACTTCTGCCCTCCATGAACTGAAAATGTTTGTTTTCTTAAAATACAATGCGACTTAAGAGTTACCACATTTAACACGTCCTGTTCTCTGCCTGTGTTTCTTCCTCTATGGTCTGACCCTGTTCTTACCCGGGTCCTCTCATTTCCGCCCAGTCTCCATGGTGATGGGTATTCCTACCGTAAAGCGTAAAGTGAAGTCGTACCTGGCCGAGACTCTGCACTCGCTCATCGACAAGCTCTCACCTGAGGAGAAACTCGACTGTGTCATCATCGTCTTCGTTGGAGAGGTGGGGGGAAAAATTATCATACTCTCACGCCAATGCTCACGTGCACGTTCTCTCACTCACTCACTCACTCACTCTCACATATATATATATATGTATGTGTGTGTGTGTGTGTGTGTGTGTGTATACAGTGGGGAAAAAAAGTATTTAGTCAGCCACCAATTGTGCAAGTTCTCCCACTTAAAAAGATGAGAGAGGCCTGTAATTTTCATCATAGGTACACGTCAACTATGACAGACAAATTGAGATTTTTTAAAAAGAAAATCACATTGTAGGATTTTTAATGAATTTATTTGCAAATTATGGTGGAAAATAAGTATTTGGTCAATAACAAAAGTTTCTCAATTCTTTGTTATATACCCTTTGTTGGCAATGACACAGGTCAAACATTTTCTCTAAATCTTCACAAGGTTTTCACACACTGTTGCTGGTATTGTTGCCCATTCCTCCATGCAGATCTCCTCTAGAGCAGTGATGTTTTGGGGCTGTCGCTGGGCAACACAGACTTTCAACTCCCTCCAAAGATTTTCTATGGGGTTGAGATCTGGAGACTGGCTAGGCCACTCCAGGACCTTGAAATGCTTCTTACGAAGCCACTCCTTCGTTGCCCGGGCGGTGTGTTTGGGATCATTGTCATGCTGAATGACCCAGCCACGTTTCATCTTCAATGCCCTTGCTGATGGAAGGAGGTTTTCACTCAAAATCTCACGATACATGGCCCCATTCATTCTTTCCTTTACATGGATCAGTCGTCCTGGTCCCTTTGCAGAAAAACAGCCCCAAAGCATGATGTTTCCACCCCCATGCTTCACAGTAGGTATGGTGTTCTTTTGATGCAACTCAGCATTCTTTGTCCTCCAAACACGACGAGTTGAGTTTTTACCAAAAAGTTATATTTTGGTTTCATCTGACCATATGACATTCTCCCAATCCTCTTCTGGATCATCCAAATGCACTCTAGCAAACTTCAGACGGGCCTGGACATGTACTGGCTTAAGCAGGGGGACACGTCTGGCACTGCAGGATTCGAGTCCCTGGCGCCGTAGTGTGTTACTGATGGTAGGCTTTGTTACTTTGGTCCCAGCTCTCTGCAGGTCATTCACTAGGTCCCCCCGTGTGGTTCTGGGATTTTTGCTCACCGTTCTTGTGATCATTTTGACCCAACGGGGTGAGATCTTGCGTGGAGCCCCAGATCGAGGGAGATTATCAGTGGTATTGTATGTCTTCCATTTCCTAATAATTGCTCCCACAGTTGATTTCTTCAAACCAAGCTGCTTACCTATTGCAGATTCAGTCTTCCCAGCCTGGTGCAGGTCTACAATTTTAGTTTCTGGTGTCCTTTGACAGCTCTTTGGTCTTGGCCATAGTGGAGTTTGGAGTGTGACTGTTTGAGGTTGTGGACAGGTGTCTTTTATACTGATAACAAGTTCAAACAGGTGCCATTAATACAGGTAACGAGTGGAGGACAGAGGAGCCTCTTAAAGAAGAAGTTACAGGTCTGTGAGAGCCAGAAATCTTGCTTGTTTGTAGGTGACCAAATACTTATTTTCCACCATAATTTGCAAATAAATTCATAAAAAATCATAAAATGTGATTTTCTGGATTTTTTTTCCTCAATTTGTCTGTCATAGTTGACGTGTACCTATGATTAAAATTACAGGCCTCTCTCATCTTTTTAAGTGGGAGAACTTGCACAATTGGTGGCTGACTAAATACTTTTTTCCCCCACTGTATATGTGTGTATATATGTGTGTATGTGTATATACAGTTGGAAGTTTACATACACCTTAGCCAAATACATTTAAACTCTGTTTTTCACAATTCCTGACATTTAATCCTGGTAAAAATTCCCTGTCTTAGGTCAGTTAGGATCACCACTTTATTTTAAGAATGTGAAATGTCAGAATAATAGTAGAGAGAATTATTTATTTCAGCTTTTCTTTCTTTCATCACATTCCCAGTGGCTCAGAAGTTTACATACACTCAATTAGTATTTGGTAGCATTGCCTTTAAATTGTTTAACTTGGGTCAAACGTTTCGGGTAGCCTTCCACAAGCTTCCCACAATAAGTTGGGTGAATTTTGGCCCATTCCTCCTGACAGAGGTGGTGTAACTGAGTCAGGTTTGTAGGCCTCCTTGCTCGCACAGGCTTTTTCAGTTCTGCCCACACATTTTCTATAGGACTGAGGTCAGGGCTTTGTGATGGCCACTCCAATACCTTGACTTTGTTGTCCTTAAGCCATTTTGCCACAACTTTGGAAGTATGCTTGGGGTCATTGTCCATTTGGAAGACCCATTTGCGACCAAGCTTTAACTTCCTGACTGATGTCTTGAGATGATGCCATCTATTTTGTGAAGTGCACCAGTCCCTCCTGCAGCAAAGCACCCTCACAGCATGATGCTGTCACCCCCGTGCTTCACGGTTGGGATGGTGTTCTTCGGCTTGCAAGCAACCCCCTTTTTCCTCCAAACATAACGATGGTCATTATGGCCAAACAGTTCTATTTTTGTTTCATCAGACCAGAGGACATTTCTCTAAAAAGTACGATATTTGTCCCCATGTGCAGTTGCAAACCGTAGTCTGGCTTTTTTATGGCGGTTTTGGAGCAGTGGCTTCATCCTTGCTGAGCGGTCTTTCAGGTTATGTCGATATAGGACTCGTTTTACTGTGGATATAGATACTTTTGTACCTGTTTCCTCCAGAATCTTCACAAGGTCCTTTGCTGTTGTTCTGGGATTGATTTGCACTTTTCGCACCAAAGTACGTTCATCTCTAGGAGACAGAACGCGTCTCCTTCCTGAGCGGTATGACTGCTGCGTGGTCCCGTGGTGTTTATACTTGCGTACTATTGTTTGTACAGATGAACGTAGTACCTTCAGGCATTTGGAAATTGCTTCTAAGGATGACCCAGACTTGTGGAGGTCTACAATTTTTTGGTTGATTTCTTTTGACATCTCATGATGTCAAGCAAAGAGGCACTGAGTTTGAAGGTAGGCCTTGAAATACATCCACAGGTACACCTCCAATTGACTCAAATGATGTCAATTAGCCTATCAGAAGCTTCTAAAGCCATGACATCATTTTCTGGAATTTTCCAAGCTGTTTAAAGGCACAGTCAACTTAGTGTATGTAAACTTCTGACCCACTGGAATTGTGATACAGTGAATTATAAGTGAAATAATATCTCTGTAAACAATTGTTGGAAAAATTATTTGTGTCATGCACAAAGTAGATGTCCTAACCGACTTGCCAAAACTATAGTTTGTTAACAAGAAATTTCTGGAGTGATTGAAAAACGAGTTTTAATGACTCCAACCTACGTGTATGTAAACTTCCGACTTCAACTGTATATATGTGTGTATGTATATATATATATATATATATATATATGTGTATATGTATATGTATATACAGTGAGGGGAAAAAAGTATTTGATCCCCTGCTGATTTTGTACGTTTGCCCACTGACAAAGAAATGATCCGTCTATAATTTTAATGGTAGGTTTATTTGAACAGTGAGAGAGAATAACAACAAAAAAATCCAGAAAAACGCATGTCAAAAATGTTATAAATTGATTTGCATTTTTATTTGGGAAATAAGTATTTGACCCCCTCTCAATCAGAAAGATTTCTGGCTCCCAGGTGTCTTTTATACAGGTAACGAGCTGAGATTAGGAGCACACTCTTAAAGGGAGTGCTCCTAATCTCAGCTTGTTACCTGTATAAAAGACACCTGTCCACAGAAGCAATCAATCAATCACATTCGAAACTCTCCACCATGGCCAAGACCAAAGAGCTCTCCAAGGATGTCAGGGACAAGATTGTAGACCTACACAAGGCTGGAATGGGCTACAAGACCATCGCCAAACAGCTTGGTGAGAAGGTGACAACAGTTGGTGCGATTATTCGCAAATGGAAGAAACACAAAATAACTGTCAATCTCCCTCGGCCTGGGGCTCCATGCAAGATCTCACCTCGTGGAGTTGCAATGATCATGAGAATGGTGAGGAATCAGCCCAGAACTACACGGGAGGATCTTGTCAATGATCTCAAGGCAGCTGGGACCATAGTCACCAAGAAAACAATTGGTGACACACTACGCCGTGAAGGACTGAAATCCTGCAGCGCCCGCAAGGTCCCCCTGCTCAAGAAAGCACATATACATGCCCGTCTGAAGTTTGCCAATGAACATCTGAATGATTCAGAGGAGAACTGGGTGAAAGTGTTGTGGTCAGATGAGACCAAAATGGAGCTCTTTGGCGTCAACTCAACTCGCCGTGTTTGGAGGAGGAGGAATGCTGCCTATGACCCCAAGAACACCATCCCCACCGTCAAACATGGAGGTGGAAACATTATGCTTTGGGGGTGTTTTTCTGCTAAGGGGACAGGACAACTTCACCGTATCAAAGGGACGATGGACGGGGCCATGTACCGTCAAATATTGGGTGAGAACCTCCTTCCCTCAGCCAGGGCATTGAAAATGGGTCGTAGATGGGTATTCCAGCATGACAATGACCCAAAACACATGGCCAAGGCAATAAAGGAGTGGCTCAAGAAGAAGCACATTAAGGTCCTGGAGTGGCCTAGCCAGTCTCCAGACCTTAATCCCATAGAAAATCTGTGGAGGGAGCTGAAGGTTCGAGTTGCCAAACGTCAGCCTTGAAACCTTAATGACTTGGAGAAGAGTGGGACAAAATCCCTCCTGAGATGTGTGCAAACCTGATGGCCAACTACAAGAAACGTCTGACCTCTGTGATTGCCAACAAGGGTTTTGCCACCAAGTACTAAGTCATGTTTTGCAGAGGGGTCAAATATTTTTTTTCCCTCATTAAAATGCTAATCAATTTATAACATTTTTGGATTTTTTTGTTGTTATTCTGTCTCTCACTATTCAAATAAACCTACCATTAAAATTATAGACTGATCATGTCTTTGTCAGTGGTACAAAATCAGCAGGGGATCAAATACTTTTTTCCCTCTGTGTGTGTGTGTGTGTGTGTGTGTGTGTATATATATACACACACACACACACACACACACACACACACACACACACATTGAAACACACACTGTTTCATACAAATAAGAACATTATATTCTGTGTCTCTGCAGACGGAAACTGAATACGTCCAAAGCGTGGTTACTGGACTGGAGAAAGAGTGAGTGACATCGCGTCCTGTCTTTGTGATGACTGTTTCCTGTCTGATAATCCCCCTGGCTGTTTATAGAGGACAGAAGTAGTATGACAACTTTTGTGTGCGTGCGTGCGTCTATCCCAGGTTTTCTTCAGAATTCAGTTCAGGTTTGTTGGAGCTGATCTCTCCTCCTGCCAGCTACTACCCAGATCTCAAAGACCTCAAGGAGACCTTCGGAGACTCCAGAGAGCGGGTCAGGTGAAGTAAAATATTCAACATTTGAATCTGTAAAGAATCAGAGGAACTTCCTCTCATCTTCAATTGGTGACAAACATTGGCAAACGTTCAAATAACAGACACACTCCATCACTTCTGTACATCTCCAGCCAATCTCCACTGCTCACACCCCAAAATGACTTTGTTCTGGTTATTTGTTGTTGATGTGCCACGTCCGGTGGGCATTGCCAATGACAATACAGAGAGAATGAGAGAGGAGAGAGGGATGAGCTGTAAGGGGTGGGCCAGGCACTCAGTATTCCACAGGCATCCCTCAAAGTCAGCTCAAGGTCGACTGCACCCCTCCCTATCTCCTTCCCTTCTCCCTGCCTCCCCCTTCCCCCTCCCTCCTACATTGACTGTGCTGTGGAAACCTCTCTCTCTGTGTCTCAATCGCTCTCTGTCGCTCTCTCTGTTGCTCTCTGTCACCCTCTGTCGCTCTGTCTGTCGCTCTCTGTCTGTCCCTCTGTCGCTCTCTGTCTGTCCCTCTGTCGCTCTCTGTCGCTCTCTGTCTGTCCTCTGTCGCTCTCTGTCTGTCCCTCTGTCGCTCTCTGTCCTGTCGCTCTCTGTCTGTCCCTCTGTCGCTCTCTGTCTGTCCCTCTGTCGCTCTCTCTGTCCCTCTGTCGCTCTCTGTCTGTCCCTCTGTCGCTCTCTGTCTGTCCCTCTGTCGCTCTCTGTCTGTCCCTCTGTCGCTCTCTGTCTGTCGCTCTCGGTCTGTCGCTCTCTGTCTGCCGCAGTCTGTTTCGGTCTTTCTCTGCCGCGGTCTGTCTCTGCCGCGGTCTGTCTCTGCCGCGGTCTGTCTCTGCCGCGGTCTGTCTCTGCCGCGGTCCGTCTCTGTCGCGGTCCATCGGTCTCTTTGTCTGTCTGTCTGTCTCTCTCTCGCTGGCTCTCTCGCTGTCTGTCTTTCTGGCTTTCTCTCACTCTGTGTGTGGGGGCTGATAGAGAGCTGATGTTTTGGAGAGTAAACAATGTTTGAACTCGGTTAGATGTGTGCTGCCCTTTGTTAGCGCTTGATTTAATTTCTGCTCATTGAATATTTATGAGAAGCCCCCTGGAATCCCTGCTGCTGAGGTGGAATGAAGTACAATGCAACTCATTAGTGTGGGTGGCGTGCGTGCGTTTGTGGGTGGCGTGCGTGCGTCCGCCTCCCTGTATGTGTGTGTATGCGCGTGTGCTGGTCCCAACACCTGCCGTCAGGCAGTGATGTGCACACCTGCTCCCTCCAGCCACCACTCATCAGTCATTTAGTAACAGGGTTTGAGGAAAGGATTCATAATCGTGTGTTTGTGTGTGTTGTAGATGGCGGACCAAGCAGAATCTGGACTATTCCTTCCTCATGATGTATGCTGTGAGCAAAGGAGTCTACTATGTCCAGGTGTGTATGTCCTTGGAACGCACATTCTGCCCCTAGCCCTACTAAACCTGCGTTCCCGTTGGAATATGCCGGCAGGAGCAGTATGTGTCTGGGGCAGAGCTGTAGTACACCTTGTACCAACACACTTCAGCATCATAGGGTTTGTTACCATGGAAACACTGGTGAGCCAGCAGTTTGGAACAAGGCGTGCCCAATTTGGACGTGTTCTTTACATTAAACGAGGCCAGTTGCTAGTCTGTGTGTGTGTTGGTACAAGGTGTACATACTGTGTCTGCAGCAGAGTTGCATGCTCTTTCATCAAGAGTTGGACAGCCCTTTTCTCCTCCTCTTAGTGTATGTAAAGATCAGATATACTGTACAGGTTGTTCTATCTGTTATATCAACCACCTGCTGCTCCCTCCCTTCCATTGATCACAAACATATATAGATACACTGAGAACACCTTCCTAATATTGAGTTGCACCCCCTTTTGCCCTCAGAACAGCCTCAATTCGTCGGGGCATGGACTCTACAAGGTGTCGAAAGCGTTCCACCGGGATGCTGGCCCATGTTGACTCCAATGCTTCCCACAGTTGTGTCAAGTCTGCTGGATGTCCTTTGGGTGGTGGATCATTCTCGATACACACAGGAAACTGTTGAGTGTGAATCCCAGCAGTGTTGCAGTTCTTGACACACTCGAACCGGTGCACCTGGCACCTACTACCATACCCCGTTCAAAGGCACATAAATATTTTGTCTTGCCCATTCACCCTCTGAATGGCACAATCCATGTCTCAATTGTCTCGAGGCCTAAAAATCCTTATTTAACCTGTCTCCTCCCCTTCATCTACACTGATTTTAAGTGGATTTAACAAGTGACATCAGTAAGGGATCATAGCTTTCACCTGGTCAGTCTACGTCATGGAAAGAGCAGGTGTTCCTAATGTTTTGTACACTCAGTGTATAATGAGCTACCACATTGGATCTCATCTCATCCTCTATTAACCCCTTCTCTCGTTCTTTCTTTCCTTCTTTCTAATTTTGGTTGTTTTCATCTTCCATCCTGTGTTGACGTTGTCTCCACTCAGGGGAGGAGTGGGCAGAGGTACTGAATGCTGTCATTGACAGTGTGTAGTTCAGTCTACTGTAGGCCGTAGACGACATTCAGTGCCTATAGAAAGTAGCTTAGTAAGAGACTTGTGTGGTGTTCCATGTTGGTCAGCTGTATGTGTGATAAGTAGATGACTAGATGTGTGATGGCCGAACCCCTTCAAGCCTAATCTCACCAGTCACTCCACCCCCTCCCTCTCCACCCCCCTCCCTCTCCACCCCCTCCCTCTCCTCCCAGTTGGAGGATGACATTGTGGCCAAGCCCAACTACTTTGCCACCATGAAGAACTTTGCCCTGCAGCTCTCCTCCGAGGACTGGATGATCCTCGAGTTCTCCCAGCTTGGCTTTATCGGTAACGCACACATACACACACACACACTCTGGGCATTTAGCAACCCTCTAACAAGCTATTAGTCAGCAATTAATGGTCCTTAACGAACGGTCACTGAGGCTTAACAAGGAATCCTTGACCCTTAACGAACACTGACTGTCAGCTAAAATGAAGGAAAGTCAGAAAGGAGACTTTTTAGAGTTTAAAAAAACGAAGCTAGGTTTGAATAGCCAGCCCACTGGTTTTCCTCCTCTCTTTCCTCCCTCCTTCCCCTCTTTTTCAACTCTCTCCCCTCAATCTTGATTCCCCATACCCCCCTCTCCTCGATTCACTCTCTCCTCGATTCACTCTCCCTCCCCATCTACCTCTCTCCTTCTCCCTCCTCCTCTCAGGTAAGATGTTCCAGGCTCCAGATCTCAATCTGATCGTAGAGTTTATCTTCATGTTCTATAAGGAGAAGCCCATTGATTGGCTACTGGACCACATCCTCTGGGTCAAAGTGTGTAACCCGGAGAAAGACGCAGTACGTACACACCCTGTTTGGTTGTTTGTGTATGTGGGTGGTATCTTCAACAACTCTCTTGACTCTCTCTCCATCTACCCTTTCTCCCTACAGAAGCACTGTGAGAGGCAGAAGTCGAGTCTGCGTGTGCGGTTCAGGCCCTCCCTCTTTCAACATGTGGGGTTGCACTCCTCTCTGGCTGGAAAGATACAGAAACTCACTGTGGGTCCTAAACCTCTCTCTATCACACTCCCTCTGGATCACTCTCCCTGCATCAGCCTTAGATCAAAATTCCTGTACCATATGTCTTAAGTACCCCCAAACACCACCCCCATCTACCCAAATATCACCTCAGCCCACCAACTCACGGCCATCATACTAGGCCATGCTGACTTCCCCCTGGTATGACCACTTCCTGTCGTCTCTGCTGGTGTCTCACTTCCTCTTCCTTTCCCCTTGACTTCCTGTTTAGGATAAGGACTTCCTGAAACCCCTGCTCCATAAAATCCATGTGAACCCGCCTGCTGAGGTGTCCACATCTCTCAAGGTACATCACCCTTAAACCACAACACAACTTTCTAGCTTGGCCTTCTTATGAGTTGAAAAATGTCTATTGTTTTAAAGCCTCAATATTGGCTTTTTATTTCAATAAGGTAGTATTCCCAGTATTAATGATTTAAATGCATTTCAAAAGTTTGATTTGTGTAATTATTTGAGAAGTGTACTGAGAGGTTTTGAGTGCATTTAGCTGACATTGTGCTGTGTAGGTGTACCAGGGCCACACGTTGGAGAAGACCTACCTAGGAGAAGACTTCTTCTGGGCCATCAACCCTACTGCTGGAGACTACGTCCTCTTCAAGTTCGACAGGCCCGTCAGCATAGAGAGGTGAGGAGGGAGAGGGAGCTGTGTTTGTGTGCACGCATGCTTGTGTGTGTAAGTGTGTGCATTTCTGAGAGGGAAAAGGGAGGTCGTGCCACTCACACACTCTTCCACAAGCTTTAGCGTGCCTGTCTCTCTGGGGCTCAGTGTGTGCTAATGAGTGTTCTAAAATAAGAACTCCCGAAACTGCGAGTGAGATTCAAGGAAAGAAATAGCGGAAGGGTTTGGAGGGAGAAAGGAAGGGCTAAGAAAGGGATGTGGAAGAGGAGCTAGATGAGGGGATGTGGATGGGATAAATGAGTAAAGAGGCTATAGAGGTGTTGGATAAGTCAGGGAGCTTCAGAGTGATTGACAGAGAGGAGAGGGAGAAAGAGAGAAGAAAAGAGAACAACTCATCACTCTGTTTCATGTGTTGTGTTTTTGTTCATAGCAGTCAGTGACCTCTCTCCAGTGTTGGTGTCTGGGCTTGATTTGCATCTATTAGCCATGTGATGTGTGACAAGCTTCATTAACACCTTAAGTGGAGGGGTGTGTGTGCGCATGCGCCATTGCTGCCTCAGGCTTGGTTTAGACTTGTCAGATGTGTCGTTCCAAAAGCACAGCACATTGTGTGACAGGACAGTGTTGCTTGTAAGCATGCATATTCATGAGTGTGCCGTGGGACGTGAATATGCATTAATAGGTGTTGTGTGATTGGCAGGTTCCTGTTCCGCAGTGGGAACCAGGAACACCCTGGGGACAGGATAGAAAACACCACCGTAGAGATACTGCCCTTCTCGGTAAGACGACAACATTCAGACAATGCACAGACAACATTCAGACAACATTCAGACATCGCAAAGACAACATTCAGACGACAGTGTGCAATGACACGTAAACAGAGTCAGTAGATCAGACCCAGCACTTGTTTCTGATTTGGTTTATTGACTCATCACTCAAAATGTGTATTGATTTGGTTATTGAAAAGATCATGAGCATTGCCTGCTCCAATCAATATCACTGCATGAGGCGGGAGATACTAGTTAACAAGGCTCTCTACCTAGTGTATGCATAACATTACGAAAATAATCAGAATATGTCTGTGTCTGAAGGAAACTGGACCAAAGACCAAAGAGAAGTACAAGCGAACTGAAGACCGCTACTACAGAATCGGTGAGTGGACAGGCACCAACCCTCTTATCCTGTTAGCTTTCTTTACTCAGAACACACACACCCTGATTAGATTACCCACTCGCATTGTTCCTGCCACAGACTGATAAACAATGTACAAACTGCCTGTCAAAGGTCCTCAATCACAGCTCCCCCCCCTTTCTCTCCCTAGGTCAGTTTGAGAAGGGTGTGGCGGAGGGGGCTGTAGACACCTCCTTCAACCCAGTGGTGGCGCTGCGTCTCTCTGTTGTCAAAGACTCAGCTGTCTGGGCCATCCTCAGTGAGGTCAGCCAATCACACAGCATCATCTGTCCTTTTATCTTTTACCAAATGTATCTATTGTTCTATGTACCCAAGGTAATGTTATCCTGTATAACGACAGGTGTGTGTGTGACATGTCTGTGTTCCTCTGTGTCTCTCTGTAGATCCACATAAAAAAGCTACCAGGCTGACATCAGGCGGGGGGCCACAATCCAGGCCCCCGGCCCCGGGTTGCTCGCAGACGCACCTAAAATGTACTGACCAGAGGCCCTCTGGCACCTAGCAACCAGCAGAGACGTCCTCAGGCCGCACCAGAGCCACTCCTCTCAGGGCTTCTGTCTGAGGACGCTCTCATTCAATCGCTTTATCTCTCTCTGCTTCTCCTTTCTTCCCTCTCTTTTACCCCTCCATCTCTTCCTCTTTCTCTCCCACTCTCTCTATCACTTGCTCTCTATCTTTTTGCGTGAATGTGAATGCTACTGTACAAAAGAGACAGATATAAAATATCAGAAGGAATTGGGTGTATCCTGCAGAATTCCGTTCCCAACTCTGACTGTCGAGGTAACTGTGTGTTACACAGAGGGCTTGTGACTTGGAGAGACTGACCTGAGGGGCTGATGTCACCCAGACACTGGTGCAAAGTAGATGCTCACTACTCCATGTGCTCTCTACCATCCCCATCTCTGGTCTGGTCAGCTGGGGTATTGCACTGTCACTGGAGCCATAGTGGAGCCCCCTGCTGGTGACTGAAGAATGTATATCAGCCTCACGGACCTGTTGCTTTTTGTTGTTTTCCACAGGGTTGTGTGTTCTAGCGAAACAGCAAGTAATAGACAAGTAAGTTGTCAGTCATCTTATGGTGGTGGATAACTGCCTTTGTTCCTTTCTCCTCAGCTCTTCTTCTGAAGGGGATTACAATGACTATGGCAAACGAAGCAGAAAACAAAATGTGGTTCCCCATCTTTAAAGTGACAGGTCTGTCAAACTATATCTTGATGAAGAATGCTCTGGGTAAAAGTAACCCGTAGGCGCAGATCTAGGGTCAGCTTACCTTGCCCAGGTCCCAGTCCCAACCTTAACCATTCTAAGGCAAAAACCTGAAACCTACAGTATATATGATCTGTGTCTGGGACAGTTTCATCCTATTCATTATTAAATGAAGAATCTTGGTGACTGAAGGAAACCATATCTATTGTCAGGCTGAAAGACCTCCAGTGTCCTTTTAGTGGTAAACCAATCAGACTTTGGCCTTGACTTTGCTTACCTGAAGGGATATATTGCTATATTGATACTAATATTATTATTACTATGACGATGATCTATGAAGGTGAATTAATTTATTTGAAATAAATCCTTAATTTGTACAAGAGGTTAAAAGTCAAAACGTCTGTGAAGAGTTTATATTACGGTAGTTGATATGTGCGTGCATGCGCTCTTTTTGTTCCGAAAAGGAATAATTGTTTTCAGTGCTGCTTTGTGTTTCATGTTCTCTTGTCTGCTGGTTGGTTCAGATAGAGGTTGACTCCAAACAGTCTGTTTTTGGATGACCTTTCCCAGACAGTCAAAGTTAAAATGATAAATGAGAGATGTCAGAACAGTCCTTAAAGCTAGAACCCTTAATTGAAACATTAACGACGTGGACACCCCGCCTCTGTTTTGGTAAAAAAAAAAAAAAAGAAGCTGAGATTGGCCTGGAGAAATGTAACCACTCTCAAATTCATAGACAGAGGACTGACCATCCAATATATCAAAATTATAGTTTTAACCATGTTTTGAGGCTATACAGTGTTTGTTTACATTTACATTATTTACAAACTTTGGAGTAAAACAAGCTTATGTTGGGTTCTGATTGGGTACTACTGTTGAACTAAAAGCTCATGAGGCATTTATAAGTTATATTCTTCAAGAATCAATGGGTGTATATATATCATTAATTTATAAGTCCAAAAATGGATGTAGCAAGTTTAAGCCAGAGATCCTGGCTGAGGCTGTGCTAGATCAGACCCAAGTGCCTTAAAGTCCTGCTCCTCCAAGAGTCTGGAGCAGAACTTCCTGAATGGCTCTGTTCCAAACCCTTCACTCCCTCCCTTTCCTCTACCCTACATAGAGGGTGTTGACTAACCCTTGGAGATTTGAAAGGATTTGAAATGCTATAGGTCCTTACAGAATACGTGATACTTGACTGACAGATGGCTACACAGGGGTAGCGGTTCCACCATAAATCACCACCAATTGTACAGTGTGACCCATGTTTACCGTCAGCAATGGGGGATATATTTTATTTTGACTTTATTTTATTTTCTGTAAATTGGGAAGGAATCTGTGTAAACTGAAGATCAAATGCTATTTAGAAAGTTGCACTGAATTTTGTACTTTAATTTTTGAATGTTCTATACTTTTTTTGGTGTGCTCTCATTTACCATCTCCAATGGACATGTGATTTTACACTTCTGACATCCTCATCATGAGTTCTACCCTATGTGATGCCTGAATCCGTCCAATCTGAGACTGCTGGTAGTTGTTGGACAGGATGTTGACTACTGTACTTTTTCTATGTGCCGTCTTGTTGCAGAGGGCTGCATGCAGACAGCCAGGCTCCCCTTGGTGTGGCGTCTTTTTCACTCTGTAGATATATAGAAAAGCAACTTCATTGTCTAAACGTCCTACATACTCTTTGCCTCATTTCAGGATCCTTGCTATTGCTAATTCCAACCAGATCCTTAAAAAAAAAAAATTATCCTAGTTAGGATACTGACTAGGGGTCGATAGAGCCCCACAGTGGAGGTGTCATAATACCCATAAAACCTAGCGGTCAAACGGAAATAGTTCCAATCGTTTTTCCACCACTTTTCCCATAGTGGATTTTAGAAACACTTAAAATAAGGGCTGTGTTTCGTGTAGGCTTTCCCTGGCGTGACGTTTTGATAACCATATAAATCTCTCTCGGACAAGGTGATTTTTATCAATATATTTAGGCTCTATTTACTTTCAGATTCGAAAGTGCTAATTAGCATCAAAATAGACATGCAAAACTACAAATCCCTGCAAGCTCCTGCACGTCATCTTTAGCTGATACCTTTGCTAACAGGTATTGTGTAAATTTACAACTTGCACAAGACCGTTCACAGAATTGTCCATTTAAAGAAATTAATCGAATTTATTCATTACTACATTTAGCTAACATTAGTTAATCCAGAGATCCTTACCTTTGCCTCGATTCTGCAGTCTCGTCCAGATCATCATGGCATTTGTAGTTCTTTATGTTAGCCACATTAGCAGCTAATTAGCATTTCATTTTTGGGGGGTAAAAATACAGACGAATATATTGATAAGTCACCTTGACCTAGAGAGATTTACACGGTTATCAAAACGTCACGCCAGGGTAAGCTTACACGAAACACAGCCCTTTATTTTAAGTGTTTCTAAAATCACCTATGGGGAAAAATGAATGGTGGAAAAATGATTGGAACCATTTCCCTGTTTGAAGGGTATTATGACTCAGACTGTGGTTACTCTATTGGGATTTGGGCAAAACGTTCAAAAGCGGGACACTTTGTACCAGGTTTGCTTGTTTGTTATTGATGGTGTGTGATTGATTGGTCAACCAACCACCTTTGCATGGAGCTGGCCCCTCCCCTGAGACCCCTGGTCAAACCAGACCCTTGCTCACACCTGGGGCTTATGTAAAGAGTGCAACATTATAGAACTTTCAGCTCAAAATGTATTATTTAGATCAGATCTGATTCTCTAGAAATGGGAATCGTGCCAGATCTAAACATTACATTTCTATCTGCAATGCTCTAGCGAAGTATTTGCGCCCTCCTGTATAAACCCCTGCCCTTCATGTGGAGGATGGCTGGGGCAGAGTGGAACACAAACTGTGGGTGTGTCTCAGTAGTTAAAAGTGGGTTCCTTCCATCTTTGTCCTTGTGCCCTTGATCCACGCTTATCGAACACTGTATATAAAAGCATTATTACATTATATTATTATTATTAATATGGAGGAAGTATGTTGGGATGCCTGCCTAGACCCTAGGAGGGGATGAAGGATAGGGAGACAGCAAAGAAAGGAAGCTAGACTATTGAGACACAGCCAGTCTCTCCCACCCCTGCCTGCCTCCACCTTCTCCCAATCAGTCCATGTGCCTTCATGGACAGTATGTCTGCCTCTGCTTTTGACATGGATGTACATTGTCATCGTTTAAATAAATCAAAGTTGTTGATACAATTCATGCCCATCTGTTTTCTGCCTTGGTTTTATTATTTCAAATAATTTGCAGTCACTGTCTGACGGGAGAATGACTCATCACCATCAGCCACACATCCATGTAGAACCAGCCAGGTTAAAATCAACGAGATGGCATTAACATGTTGGAGACTCAAAGTTGCTATTTTTGAATCCTAGCCATTCTGCTCCTTTTGATGTTCTGAGAGCTGTGAGCCTTGAGCGGCACCTAGCGGTAGACTTGAAGAAGTACATATTAAAATCGCCAACTTAATAAGTTTAACTATATTTTACATATAGTTCACATCCGTATTCCCAGGATACTTTACGAATCAAAGATGGTTCCTTTCATAAAAACGGTCATGTCAAATAGCTATTTTCTTCTACATTTCTTGCGTAATTGATCCGATAGCTGTCTTAAATGTAAGTGCAACACAATGCCAAAATACTATGAGGACAAATAGGATGGAAGGGCATGCATTTTCTGGAATAAGGGAGGACTTCAACGCATGTCTCCAACACGACTGCGTTGTGAAGGTAACGTTAACGTTAGCTAGCAGTCTGGTCCTCAGTTAGCAAAGACTAACGTTAACAGTAACTTTTATCATCCTTTATTTTAAAGCATAGGCCTACCATCAATTGTGTAAATGCTGGTTGGTTAAGCCACATTTCCATTGCAAAGTGCACAGCGTTCTGCACCAGCCTGATAATTGTAGTTATGTATGGTGTCAAATCCGATCCAAAAGTCGAAGGAGCACTAGATGGCGCGCGCGAGCAAGCAAGATGAAACATCATTGCGTGAGCAAACGCTTGAGTCGAGAGAGAAGAAATGTGGGCGAGCGAGCGAGCAGAGGACGGGTTCCGCGAGTGCAGGCCGGTGTGGCGCGCACAAATTAAATTTGAGAGTTTACAAGTGTGACTGAGCGAACAGAACTTCATTCCCGCACGCAGTAAATTAATTCGAGAGCAGATATGTGTTCACCTGAGAAGTACTTACTACATATCAAGATTCAGAAATTACTGCACACTCGCAAGTGAGCCGCTTCCCACACCGGTGTCTTTTCTCCCGCTCACACCAATTTCCCAGTTTGCTCTCCCAAATCAATTTACTATAATCTAATGGAGAAATTCTAGCCATTGAATTTAGCCTGTAGCAGTCTACTGAAACGCAATTGGTCAGGTTTTTGGACCAATCACTTCTTGACTGCGCTCTAACCGGATTTTTGACCATGGCTTTCAAATATATAGAGTAAATTAGATCGTTTTTCAGTGGAGAAACTAGCTAACCAACTGATTTCATGTATTGAAATGTAAGTAGGTTGTTATTCGGTCTTCTGTTATTAAAGCAGGCTATTGATGAGGCACGCTATGTGAACGTCAGCTAGCTAGGAAGCTAACGTTAGCTATGTGGTTTAACCAAAGCTGCTGTATATTGGTTTGAAGGATGGTTTTATACTGAATGTATGTGATAGTCATTGCTAAACAATATGAGTAATGTAGGTAAGGGATGCAGTGAACCTATAGGATAGTTATCCACGTGGTGGGTTGTGTGTTTTAACCTTTGTAAATAAGAATTTGTTCTTAACTAGTTAAACAACGACAGCCTACCCCGGACGACGCTGGGCCAATTGTGCGCGCCCTATGGGACTCCCAATCACGGCCGGATTTGATAGTCTGGAATCGAACCAGGGTCTGTAGTGACCTTAGCACACAGTGCCTTAGACCACTTCACCACTTGGGAGCGCAGTGGAATTGATGGCATGCTGTTCAATACTGACTGACAAGTGGCATGGATTGGTAAAGGGGAATTCCAGGGTAAGGGAGTGATGCTGAGACTCAGATTTTTCACTTTAAAATGTATGTCAAAGAAACCAATGATTGCAAATTGTTAAAAGTAGGCCTTGTGCATAGTTGTATGGTTTGTTTCCCTTTGAAATCATTGTTTTTTGTGTGACATACATTTTAAAGTGAGAAATGTGAGTGTCAGCATCAGTCTGTGTCCGTGGATTTGCCCTACAGCACGGCTCAGCATGGTCCCACATCTTGTTATCACTTATTTGGCTAAATTATTAAGCATAGTTTTCTCTTTTGACACCGCAGTCTTGACACTGCTACCTACCTTGAATGCAACATTAAGATGTTAAAACATTTAAACTCCAATTGAACTCTGTCTGTGACACTTCCTGACATCTTATTTTCCTCTTTCTCTCAATCCAGTTGTTCTCAGGAGTCAGGTCAGTGTGTTTGACCAGGTGGAGTCCTGTTTCTACTTCATCGCCCTAGACCACTACACCAATGAGGCAGAGGACCCCAAGTTTGGACCAGTGAGTCACCAACTCATCTTATGCCTTACACAACTCTGCACATATGTATCGCTACACCTTCCTCAAACTCCAGTGCCATACTTTTTGTTTACCTTTTTACCAATATCTATGGATTG